AAAGTAATTTTCTGTTTTGTTTTATTCTTGGATCAGGCTTTAAAGGGTTAAGGTCCGTGTTTTGACCCTGTTTTCATTCAGGATGCCTGTATTTTAGGCCTAAACCCGACTTAAACATGAGGAAAGGAGTTTGGTGTTCAGGAGGTTCCCCACAATGCCTGACGAGTAAATAAGCCACTGGGGAACCTCAGTAATGTTTCCCCAGAGAGGGAACAAAGAAAAGAGGCCAGGCTTAATGGAAACATTACGTATGCTCGGCCTCCTCAGAGGCCCCTTAACCCCACAAAAAAACCTCTGACATTATGGACTCATTAGCAGTAAGACAGAAGAATTCATTAATGAGAATACAACCTCCTTTATCAAGAGATGCAATAAGGAATTAACAAGGAGGCGGGGGTTACCTTCTCCAGTAAGGATTGCTAATGTGTATAATTTAGTATTTAGTATATATAATTTAGTTTTTTTTTGTTAGTATTTTTTGTTAGTATTTTTTTCTTTGTTTTTTTTTGTATTTTGTATTTTTTTTGTATTTTTTTTGTATTTTTTTTGTATTTTTTAGTATTTTTATCATTTTCAAACAATCTTTGACCAAAGAAAGAGCGGCTAAAGTTTCCTTTCTCTTTACTATCCACCAGATATATTGCTTTTTGATCCATACACAGCAAACTAGCAGCATGTTATTTACATGAGTATTTCAGATCCCAAAAGTATTTGAAGCCCACAAAGTATTTCACAATGGATTTGATTCTTTCATGGTGGCATGAATGCATTCTCTGTTTTAATGCGGAGTTTCTCCAGCAGAATACGGGCTGCAGATGCATCTGCACAAAGGGGTTTTACACCTTTATTCTACATCTACACTGGTTTCTATAAATAAAGAATGTGCAGAGGGAGTTTGTGCAGCTCATGAATTCTTCAGTCCGGATCTACACCGGATTTTATAGCAGCCAAATCCTGTGGAAACAGAAAAAATCAGGGTCCAACAAAAAAGTGATTCCTGTTTTTTAATTTTATTTTTATTTGTCATTTTGTTCTTGATTCCCCTGCTCTATCTATCTATCTATCTATCTATCTATCTATCTATCTATCTATCTATCTATCTATCTATCTATCTATCTATCTATCTGGGTTAAATTACACATGTAGCATCCATTGATGCTACATGCTAGCTAGCTAGCTAGTTATCTATCTATCTATCTATCTATCTATCTATCTATCTATCTATCTATCTATCTATCTATCTATCTATCTATCTATCTATCTGGGTTAAATTACACATGTAGCATCCATTGATGCTACATGCTAGCTAGCTAGCTAGTTATCTATCTATCTATCTATCTATCTATCTATCTATCTATCTATCTATCTATCTATCTATCTATCTATCTATCTATCTATCTATCTATCTATCTATCTATCTTGCTCTTTGGTTAGAAGCCAGATTTGGTCAAAGCCGTTTTACTGTCATCCTCAGTTTAAATCACCGATAAACGCTCGCTGACGGATTGATTTAATCAATAATGTTCAGCACGTCTGCCAACTATTTCCTTTCTTCTCTCATGTTTTTTAAAGCTATCCAATTTTTTTTATTTTTATATTTTCATCACCTAAAACGTTATCATTGACTTGTTCATTTTGTTAATGTATTACATCCCAGATAATCAATCAAATATAGTCCAAATATTCACCCCACGAATGCAGTTTCAAGCTAGCTGTCATCCAATCAGGGCCTCAAACACAAACCAAGACCTTTCATTAAGAGTGTGGACAAGTGGTCCACAATCTAAAGGGAGGATCAATAGATATGAATATTTAAGAAGAGTTGGATTGACAAGGTTTTGTCAGTAAACTCCCCTAATCAGGAAAGAGGCTGTGCTTTTTCCAAAGGAAAGTAGCTACAGCTAACAGTTATCGTCAGAGATGTATAAAGTACTGGAGTAGAAGTACAAGTACTATATAAAAAAATTTACTTAAGTAAAAGTAGAAGTATTTTTCCACCACCGTACTTAAGTGGAAATACGGAAGTACTCAATTTTTTTTGTACTTAAGTATTGCAAGTAGAAGTATTTTAAAAATGGCTACTCAAGTATCAAAAGTATAAGAATAAGTAAAAGTACAAGTAGGCTACTGTGTATATTAAAAAAGGCAGTCAAAAGTGTGATATATATTGTTTATATTTTTTCAAACGTGTGAAAGGCCATACAGGCCTATAACAGAAAACAGAAAACAAAACACAAATAAAACATCTCAAAAGGCCAAAGGGGAGAGTTAAGCCTGGTGGTAAAACCTTAAGATGGAACAGAAGCATCAACATGAAGCATCATGTTGCTTCCAAAAAGTCATGAATCCACCTACTTGCATCACAAAATGCCCAGATTAGCCTTTATACAAATGGAGAAATTATTGCGGAATAATAGTATGGGAATAACAGAATTTACTACAGTAAAACTACATTATTGCATTAGCAATCAAAAGAGCCTCATCTACTATTATGTATATA